AATAGAATGCTTCAGGAACTGTTTTTACTAGTCAGAAACACCTGCCTTCAAAGAAGGCTATTAGTAAACCTGCAGATCTCCTCTGAGGGGAGGAGGAAAACATTACTATTCCAGAATATTTCTAATGTGGGAGATGTTCTCTCTTTTATAATGGTCAAGAAACAAATCTGCCAAAACCGGTTTGGCTCAGTGGATAAAGCAGACTGAAAGGTCCCGGGTTCAATTCCAGTCCAGGGCATGTACCTTGGTTGCGGGCACATCCCCAATAGGGGGTGTGCAAGAGGCAGCTGATTGATGTTTCTCTCTCATCGATGTTTCTAACTCTATCCCTCTATCTTCCTCTCTATAAAAAAAATCAATAAAATATATTTTAAAAAAGAAAGAAACCAATCTACCCTCTGATCTTGATGGCCACATTAGATATTCAGAAGCACATGGAAATGCCACCAAGAATTAACCTATGAACAAATCCACCTCACCAGGCAAACTCTGGCAAATTTCCCCATGAAGACACCACTCACAAGCCACTCCAATTATTCTGACCAGTGGGGGTAGGACCAAATCCATTTGATTTGTTTCTTGCACCATTTAACACATTTCATAAACCATAAATGCTGTAGGTCTCTATGGACCACCCTAATCTGCAGTTCACCATGTTTGCATGAGGGAAACTAGTGAGTACCTGGCTTCTCTTAAGAAGTATCATCTCAAGGGCACACACAGTGACCCTGGAAGGGAAGCTTTTATAGTTATTGAGCCCCCTAGTGTAATGTACGCCATCAGGAGGAAGATGGACAGTGCTCCCAGTGTGGGCCCTGGCTGTAAGCCTTATATGATAGTTCCCAGTTCCATTTACTGCATCTAGTCCTTGATGTTCAGAGGGGCTCTGCACGGATGTACAGATGCAGGGGCCAGCCCTGTTTTCTCGTGACTGGAGCTGAATGGCAGACTTAGCATCTCCCTGGTGGGAGAGCTGGCCCATGCACATGGTCCTGGAAGAAGGATTCGGGACATTTCTGAAGGACAGATATTATTAATGCTTCTCCCTCCCTCAAATGTCTTAAGTTGTATGGTGTTCCTTCCTCAGATGCCTGGATCTTTGCTCTTCCTTCAGTGTCACAAAACATGTGTGTACCATTCCAGTGGCTGTAGCTTCATTTTTCTTTCCCAATCATCTTTAATTGTCACTCAGACCTTTTTTTTTTTTTTTTTTTTTTTTTTTTTTGCATAAGGACCAGATACAAGAAGGAAAATACATTTTCATAAGGTGTAGCCAAAATTGAATCTGCTTCCCCTAGACATTCCGAGGCTGGTTAGGGGAAGAAAGAAGCATCATCCCCAGGGATGTTCAGAACAGAATCCTAAATTTTTAGAATTTGTCTATTTAACAGCATTTATCCTGGCTGCTTTTGTCCTGATCCTGATGCAGACAGGAGTTGATCATTTTCTGGGAACAGCTGTCTTCAGTGACCAAAGAGCCTTACAGAGGTGTGTGGACAGGAGGAGATGAGGAATGTTACGTCAGTCAATCAGTGCTTTGGGAGTAGTTTTTGATAAAGGGCATACCATTGTCAGACTCAGATGGTCCAGCCAGCCAGGTTGATGACACCCGTGAATTCCCAGGGTCACAATCAGTTGCTTTGTAAGTTTAAGTGTGGACTATGTTGATATACTACCCAAAACCCCAAGAGAGGTTTGAGGCCTGATCAGTGTGTCAGGATCAGGCCAAGTAATACCCCTTGTGATGGGCCTCCCTGACTATGGAATGAACAGGTAAACATTAGCAGGAATCATGAGTCTGGCACACAGCTGCAGTCCCTGAACACAGCCATGGTGTCATCCTGTCAGCAGGTACTGAGGTATCTCCATGAGGGGTCCAGACTGGTCTGTCAGCACCACAAGTTCATTTCTGCAGTCATGCAGAGAAAGGCATCTTAACTTTGCCAGCCTGTTGCTTTCCACTTGGCCAACAAAACATCTAGGCCACATGCAGAGAAGCACAGTTGTCTGAGTGCTGCCAACCAGAGGAGTGACCAAATTTGCTTTTGGTTTGGCAAAGTTGGCTCTTAAGCCAAGCAGCCTCAGTAGCTCAGTGGGTACTGGCTGTCAGCCAGGCATTAAGGCACCAGGCCCAGCCACAAGGGCAATCTTGCTGAATTGAGGACCCTGCTAGACCAATGTTTGCTTCAGGCTCTGAAGAATAGAAAGCCTAGGTGCCATTGGGCACCATCCCCACATTCTTTTTCTTTTTGTTTTTTCTTTTTAATATACTTTATTGATTTTTTTTACAGAGAGGAAGGGAGAGAGATAGAGAGCTAGAAACATTAATGAGAGAGAAACATTGACAAGCTGCCCGCAACCAAGGTACATGCCCTTGACTGGAATTGAACCTGGGACCTTCCAGTCCGCAGGCCAACACTCTATCAACTGAGCCAAACCAGTTTCGGCAATCTCCACATTCTCGAACATAACATGCCCACTTTCAGGCCCTTCTTACACTGTAAGTCCTAGAGTTGAGTTGACCCATCTCAAAATGGGAATCTTGGGAGAGAGAGAGTTACAGGCCTTCCTCCATGGATTTTTACTTTCAGCAGTAAACTTCTAGTAGCTGGTGTTATGATATTAATAACAGTAATAACAAAAAGACATGATCTCTACCCAGTGCCAATGGTCTTCTCACATTCACATGTTTTCATATCATTCATGAGAAAATAAAATCACAGTCACACAAAACCTGCTGTGGGTCTTCAAGTTCTCCAGGAGCTTCAGGCACAAGATTAAATATGAGTGAGAGGATCTGCTTTATACCTGGAAGAGCTCAGAGATTATTTCATGAAAACACTCCACATGAAAGTTGAGACTGTTTCCTTGCTTTCTGTATATGATCCATGATATTATTTTTTTAAATATATTTTATTGATTTTTTACAGAATGCTAGAGAGAGAGATAGAGAGTTAGAAACATCGATGAGAGAGAAACATGGGCAAGTTGCCTCCTGCACACCCCCTACCGGAGATGTGCCTGCAACCAAGGTACATGCCCTTGACTGGAATCCAACCTGGGACCTTTCAGTCCACAGGCCGACGCTCTATCCAAACCGGTTTCAGCAGTCCATGATATCATTTAGGAATATAATAATGAGTATGCTTCCCTATTGCACATTTGAATCAACATTTGAAAAGGGAAAATATTGCTAGCTTACCATAGTTGTCTGTCTAAGCCTTAGACTCTAGTCTAAGGCATCAGCAGAAGTTTATTTTCTAACTTTAAAAAGTAATTTTAAATGCAGGTCATCTCTTATTGTCTCCTGAGTCCTTGCAGCATAAAATATAACTCCATAATCAACCTCGCGCTGCTACACTGGTAGTTAAGAATTTTGTCCCATTAGTGGATCAAAGTCTGAAAAAAGAACTTGAACACTACTGAACTATGAGGCTTTGAGAATTATAGTCATGGTTCTGCATAATTAACTTTGTTCTCTTTCTTTTTGAAGAAAAAAAGAAAGGGCATTCCTGGACAAGAATTAAAAGGAAATGTTCGAGATATATATATCGAAAAGGTAAGTGGGCAAAGTGAAGTAGTCACACCTTTGAGTTTACTGAGGCACTGCTTCTTGTATCCTTGTACCCTATAATCTCCTGAGGGCCATGATAGTTTCCCAGATACTATATCAGGTAGGATATAGGCAAAGACACTGTAACAAAGAGGCCTAAAAATGCAGTGACTTGAACAAAATGGTTTATTTCTGATACAGGTATGTAATTCTCCAGAGCTAATTGATCCGGGGCTATTAGGAAGACACAGCCATTCTCACTTTGTGGTTTCTTTACTGGGTCAATACATTCTTATTAATTTAGAAAGATGTCCCAAAGAAGGCTAAATGAAGAAAGCAGACTGTATGTGTGGGTGTACATGTGGTAAACAATATATACATATAAACATATATAGAGAAGCAAAGATATAGATATAACTGAAATATCATCGCTGACATGTACACATAAGGAACTGTTTGACATTGAAATTGGGTCTCAAAAGAACTGTTGGCCCAGAAAGAAACTCACTACAGACTGATTCATTTGCCTCTCAGCATAAGCATTATAGACTGTCTCATTTTCGTTTTTTTATAAGTGTATTTCTAGTATCACATGATCTCACTCATCTAGGGGAAATAATGAACAATATAAACTAAAATAGTGATCTTTTATAAATAGGTAATTGGTTGGCAAAACACCAGTGAATAACTTCAATTAACAACAGAGTTGTACAGTACGTAATCCATCATATGTAAAGGTGGTGCAAGTCCAAATATAAAAAAGCTAAAACTAATAGCCATCTGCAATTGTTTTGAGGCAACAAAGCTGTGGCTGCTAGCAATGGGCTTTTGATGTCTGTCATCGTTTGAACTAATACCCCTAGAGCGTGGCCTATTTTCTTATGCACATACAAAACAAAAAGATTGCGATAATATGAGGGATCCAGTGTAGATGGCTATTGAGGGAATATTTTGAGAGCATGAATATATTTTTAATTTGTGCATTCCATGAGAGCGCCTCTAAGATACTTGATGTAGTCAAATGAAGGAACACTATTACAGAAAAATTTGATATCCATTGACTTCAATACCAAGTTAATTCTATATTTCCCCTTATTTGTGTTTTAGTAATTGTTTTGAGTAACTGTGGATACTCTGTAAGTGGTTCTGGTAGTTACTTTTACAATTTTCAAAAAACAGTTTTGTTTTTTTTCTGGAAGAATACAATGTTTTTAGTTATTCTTAGGACTACAAGTAGAAAAAATAAAAGGCAAGGAAGCACAATGAGGTACAAAAGATGGGATAAGCATGGTTCTGTCAGAACTCAGGTATGATTATTGGAGCAGATGTATTTTTGGAAACAGCTCATCTTAGCTCAGAATATCAGTGTGCCACATAGGAGCACCAGGAACAACTCCCTAATCACTGTCTCAGGATCCATGAACAGTAATTTCTTGTTTTTCTTTAGTATCTGGTGAACTAGAAGCTTCCCAAATGGATAGAGAAGGAGAATCTGAAGAACTTACCTCTGGCCCACTACCCTGTAATGGACAAGGTAAGCATTTCTTAAAGAAACAGAGTTCTGATAAAGAGAAAAAGACAAGAGAGAAAAATAGGAGATTTAAAGGAAGAATCAGAAGTAGAGAGGATTAATGTTATATTTCAGAGGAAGATGTAACAAAACAGAAATTCACAAGGGTACCAAAAATAGAATCACTGGGGCATGTGAAAAGAGTCTTCATAGCTTACAATTTTGTTCCAGGAGCAGAGCTGCCAACACATGCAAATGAGAGGTGTTCCTGTGTTATGTGCTTCATAAATTATGATTTGGGTCCAGAATCAGAGCAACCAGCACATAAAAATAGTAAGTGTTCCTGCATTGTGTGTCTCTAAAAATATGTGCCAGGAGGTCCAGAAACAAGGGCCAAAGGTAGCCGAGGTAAGACACAACCCAGGGGTCATGGTGTGAGGGTGAATCCGTAGTTACCCAGGACTCCAGGTAGAGTGGAGCAGGTGGTTCAGTCCATCCCACTCTCCTGTTCTCTGCATTTTCTTGACCTGACCCTTTAGGGAACAGCAGGGAGGCAAAATATAATTATAATGTCATATTTAACAGGATGGGTCCTATTGATTATTATGGATGATGTAGTAGAAATACACTCTTAAAATGGCAATTATATATAATAGTTTGGTATGTTAGCAATAATACCCTGAATTTATTCAGCTATTTCCACTGCTGTCGCACCCAATATTCTGTGGAACCCAAGAAAACAAGGTGTACTTCTGCTAGTAGATAATAGTGTCATTTTTTCCACAATCTTTTTTTTTTTTTCTTTCACCCCCCCACCCATCAATCTTAGAAAGACCAAAGACAACTGATCCTGCCACTTAATTGTCAGGAGGGAAGATGTCAAATCAACTTTGATTAACACAGCACATATTTTTTGTTGGTTGTCTCTGCATGTCACCAATTTATACATTTTTTCCCTACAAACATTTGCACAAAATATGTTATTTGTTCCTCACAAAAATCTTAAGACCTAAATAGGATAGGACACCTGTTCTTATCCATGAGTGAACTGAAATTCATAGGTATTGAAGAGTTTTTTAAGAGTCCCATTGAATAAAAAAGAAGGAAGATCCCAGGCTCATCCTAGATTCCTACTTCTCAATTCAGGAGATATTTAGTTCCTTTGGAAGGAAGAGAAAAATGATAATCCAAACAACTTTATAAACTCAAGCCTTCTGTAGTATGGATCATCATAGCATTTGGTAACTTTTAGCTACTAATATCTATTTTCTTACATCAATCTTTTCCAGATACTGTGGATCTTGGGAACAACTCTACTTTGAGAAAATTCAAGAGGAAAAGAAGTAAGAGCGCATAAGATTTTACTTGATATTGATATTAAATTGAGGTGATTAATGCCAGAGTTTCAATTATTATAATAGCCAGTGATAACATATGATCCCTCAAACATGTGCATTTCCTAATCTTTGGAACCTGGATTGTGTTTGTTTTTTGTTTTTTGTTTTTTTTTTCCTCTTCATGGTAAAAGGGATTTTACAGATATAACAAAGCCAGAGACCTTTAAAAGAGTTTATTTTATTTTATTTATTTAAATAAATAAATTTTATTTATTTAAATAAATTTTAAAAAATTTATTTAAAAATTTTATTGACTTTTTACAGAGAGGAAGGGAGAGAGAGTTAGAAACATCGATGAGAGAGAAACATCGACCAGCTGCCTCCTGCACACCCCCAACGGGGGATGTGCCTGCCTGCACCTTGACCGGAATTGAACCAGGGACCTTTCAGTCCGCAGGCTGATGCTTTATCAACTGAGCCAAACCGGTTTCATCAGGGAGTTTATTTTATATATCTGTGTGTCACCAGTGTAATAAAAAATCAGTTTATTTCTGATACAGGTATGTAATCCTCCAGAGCTAGTTTTCCCAACATAGTTTATTGAGAAGGCTGTCTTTTCCCCACTATATATTCTTGCCTCTTTTGTCATAGATTAATTGATCATATAAGTATGGGTTTATTTCTACTTAAGCAATTTACAGTTTCAGTGCAATCCCTTTCAAAATATCAATGGCATATTTTATAGATCTAGAACAAATAATCTTAAAATTTATATAAAACCAGAAAAGACCCTGAATAGCCAAAGCAATCTTGAGAAAAAAGAAAACAAACTTGGAGGTATATAATACTACCTGATTTTAAACTATACTACCAAGCTATGGTAATCAAAACAGTATGGCAGTAGCATAAAAACAGACACATAGATCAGTGGGACAACAGAGAAATTTCAGAAATAAACCCATTCTTACATGTGATTTATTTTTAACTGTCAAATAAAGGTAATTTCCTAAAGTGTCCCAAGTCCACACACAGTAATTCCATAAACAACTTCATGCAGCCACACTGGTAATTAAGACTTTTGCTTCATGTTTGTGGATCAAAGTTTGAAAAAAATACTTGAACACTACTGACCTATGAAGCTTTGAGAATTATATTCATGGTTCTGAATAATTAACTTTGTTCTCTTCTTTTTTGAAGAAAAAAAGATAGGGTATTCCTGGACAAGAATGAAAAGGAAATGGCCAAGAAATATATATGGAAAAGGTAAGTGGGCAAAGTGAAGTAGTCACACCTTTGAGTTTACTGAGGCACTGCTTCTTGTATCCTTGTATCCTGCAATCTCCTGAGGGCCATGATAGTTTCCCAGCTACTCTACCAGGTAGGATATGCTAAGACACTGCAACAAAGGGGCTTAAAAATGCAGTGACTTCAACAAAACAGTTTATTTCTGATACAGTATGTAATCCTCCAGAGCTAATTGATCTAGTGCTAATAGGGAGACATTGCCATCCTCACTTTGTGGTTTCTTTACTGGGTCAATACATTTTTATTAATTTAGAAAGATGTTCCAAAGAAGGCTGAATATGAAAGCAGACTGTATGTATGTATGTATGTATGTATGCATATACTATAAAAATATATACATATAAGCATAGAGATATGCAAATATGTTTTATATATGTATAAATGTTTTCTATAAAGAAACATTTATAGATATATAGAAAAGTCAATGGAAGTTTATGCATAAAATATATGCAGCAGTTTTATTTGGTCATTAGTGATCTTTATATTTTTATTTGAGTTTTTAAAATGTATATGTGCATATTAACAATAGTAAACACATTCAACTTTTGTAATACAAAAGTATATTTCATTAGGAACATGTGAAAAGAGAAAAGAGGATGTTTTTGAACAAGTTAATTGTGGCTTCTTCTAATCAGAATCCTGACATTTTGTTTATTTTTATAGTGATTCAAGCAACTCTTTTCTCTGAAACAATGAGGTTGAGTTCTCATTTTCTATATTATTGAAAATTCTGAATCAGTAGATCATAATAAGATTTCAGAGACCAATGAAAAATTACCAATTTTCACCAATCTGCATATCTTATGTTTTTGCCAATTTATTTGGTTGCCCTGTTAGTGAATTTGTATAATTTCTTTTGAGGAAAAAGAAAGTGGTTGCATCCATTTTAAGAATTGTTATTTTCAAAATATCAAATATTGGGAATTCATTATGATAACATTTTTATATGTATACAGATGTATTTTGATTATTTAGAACTATATGTATATAGTTTGATTTTGAACTGTTTCTTTCTACAGTACAATAGAATTTTATATGTTATTTAAAAGTTGTCCTTAAAAATAGGGAGTGTTCTGGACACCTTCTTGAGATTCCTTATCGTTAAAGTGCTTTCTTGTCTTGAGTGTAGAGTGAAGGTGGTCTCACATGTCAGTTGCAATTTTGCCCAATTTGATGTTACCGCCTATTTCAGCAAAGCTCTTGGCCAGTTGGTCTTGAATAGAAAGAAGGTGAAAATGAATCTGTAGGATTCTGCCAAGATTTTGTCAAAAGATAAATTTTGTGCCATTTCCACTTTGCACTATGTATGGGTCAGTACAAATTTTGCCTAGCTTTTGAGGATCATAGAGTCTACTTAAATTTTTACTACTCAAGCTTACCAGGCAATTTGAGAGCTATGAAATCTAGAAAGCCAATCTGTTTGGAGCTGTGGTTGTCAATTGCATTTTTATCATAGCTCTGCTGAAACCTATGATTTTTCCCCTCTGAATTTTATCTGCTTTTCATGGAAATTCCTTTATCTTACATAATTGGTTTATGAACGTGGCTGGACTTGGTAACTGTAAACAGAAAGAAGGTTCATTCTCTCACTGACCTTTCAAATCTACCCTCTAGATGAGTTCATTCACTCTTGGGCAGGCCTGGTAGCTTCTCTGTTCTCTTGTTCACTAGTTGAGAGTCCTTCCTTGTTTAATATTAAAACTTCACTATTTTCTTTTATTCAAAGCACCTGGGCAAGCTATAGACTGGGACACCTGTGGTGGGAAGGTGGAAATGGCCAGCTCTTCTCTCTCTCTCTCTCTCTCTCTCTCTCTCTCTCTCTCTCTCTCTCTCTCTCTCTCTCTCTCTCTCTCTCCTCTACCCCCACTCAAGAGCTATTGGTTTGGGTCCATCAGGATGGGGAGGTGGAAGGGCCAGGAGAGAGAAGAGTGTGGAAGTGTCTTATGTGATGGGCACAGTTGTGAGATGACATTGGATATGAACAGTGCACAATCACTAGCTCTTTCCTCTACGAGATGCTCTAATCAACTCCATGGGGAAGGTAAGGGCAGAGTCAAATACCACAGCTTAACTTCTTTCAAAAAAAATAATGTAGCATTTCTTCTACTGCCTGGATATGACGACAGACCTAGAGCACTCTGTATTTTCTGGATCCTCCAAGGTTGTAATTAGAGGTTTGTGCCAGGCCTGGAGGCAAGAATAAGATGTGTGAATCTCTTCTAATTGGGCTGAGCATGGCCTTTCAGAAGAGAATGCAGGAATGAGAGAGACAGAGATGTCCTGGCCTTTCAAAGTCCCTCACTACTTTGGCATATTAGGTGAAAGAGGAGGGGAGGAGAGCCTCTCAGAGAGCTGTGCCTGGGTGGTTGACCTTTTCAATTCTATTGGGAAATTATAGGAAGCAAGAGGCATTATAAGTGGTTGTTCAATTGGATAAATGCACTCAATTAATATATTGAAAATGTAGCAATAACACACTAGTAAATAACAGCCATTTTTACTATGCACTGTCATATCTATTAATGCTAAAGTATTTATATTCTATAGAGCATAGTGAGTGAACACAGTGTATCAACTATGTTGATAATATTGTCATTACTGCAAAACTTAGATAGTCTCCGAAGAATAATTTGTGCTAACATTAATTATTAATGGAAAAATGTTTTAGACCAACTACTTTCAAACTTAAATGATACTTAAACTATTGAGTTACTTTTTGATTTTTCACAGGGCTTTTGTGAATACAAGTTCATTTTGTTTTCACAAAAAAATTAACAGGGAAATAGGGTAAGTAGGTTATCCCAGCATCAACAGTGGAACTGAAGGTGTTAGAGGGTCATTTATAAATGAGTCAGGCAGGAGCCCAGCATTATGGCCCGGAGCACAGAACTGGGTACAATTGAGGTAAACTGGAAAATGATAATCTCAACATTAAAATTATCACGAACCCTGCCTGTTGTGTGAGTTGTGATAAACTATGTAAGACTACTGGCTGACTTTCTATTTCCTGGTGACCCCACCTTCGAGAAGGAGGAAGGGAGAGGGAGCAGAAAAAAATTAATATGCCTCTTCAAAAAAGACATTTTCTCCTTTTTAGCAATTCTCCTTTGCTCATGGCTATTTATATACAAGTGCTCCACTTTCTTACACAAGTTTATCTCTGTCCGCATTTTGTTTGAGCTGCTATTATCTTGTTACATAATAATAAGGTAATAATTAGCCAGTCTACAAATAGAAGAACATTCTCTGCTGCAACATCTTCCTAGTCAATCCTTAGTTACTGTTTTTGAAACTAAGGTTTTGTAAGACTCAATTCTATTCATTTCCATTGATTAGCCGATAATATCTTTGTTCAAAACAAGATGAACAAAGCCCTTGGTCACATTTACTTCGCTTTTTTTTTTATCATGTTCTGCACAAATGTACAAATATCTCTATTCAAGATATGTGCTGTTCACCTGTAAGCCCACCACAGGTTTTTTTCTTAGTGCACAGAATTTCTATTTTTTTTCTATCTCTTCACCAAAAAATTCCTAAATGTCTTCACTTAATTTTGCAGTTTTTGCCTCAGTTTCCTCAGAATATTTTTAGTTTCTGTAATGGGAGTAATCATCATCTTAATATCATATATTTGTTGGAAAGACGAAATAAATTGGTAGATATATAATTGACATCTATTAAGCACTTAACACATGGCAATTTGAGTTATAAGTAAAATGATGATTTCAATTGTTTTACTAATTAGTGTTATGAAAAATTAAATAGAAGATGAACTTAAGAATAGCCATTTATTTGTTGGTAGTTTAAAAGCTAGGGATGATATATTTTTCTTCATGCATTACATAGGCTTAAGGGAAGTTACATTTAAATGGAAAATTTGAAAAGCTTTAATATCTGAAAAGAAACTGCATGTCTCCAACTGTGATTATATTTTTTCATTTTGTCAGGGAAAAGAGAGGCAGATCTAGAATTTACTTAATTCATAGGAACAGAGACCTAAAGAAGAGAGTCCAGTCAAAAGGCAATGAAGGACTTTCAATAACTAAACATCTAATTTCCCACGCTCTAGTCCGTGTTTTTAGTAATAAACCAATTTTCTAATTGCTTCGTGTAGCTTGATTAACTGTTGAGAAATTTATATGATTTGGTCTGTTTTCAAAATGTGTCAGGTACAGAAAGCAGATAATTCCACACACCTATTACCTGGTGACAGATCTAAACCCGGCCCTGCGGTCCCGTATCCAATGCAGTGCGGCTGTTTCCACTGAACTGATAGCTTTCAAGCTGTTGCCATATAAAGTATATATAGAACTCACAAATTACTTAGCTGCTCTTCAACCCGAGTCACTGGTTGCGGGTGGCCCAAAGTAGTGGTCAGAAGTCCATGTCCTCTGCTTTGACTGACAGGGCTTGTGCTGTCACTTGATCACTTTTCCTTCAGTTTCCTCATCTGTAAATCAAGAGAGTGAATTAGGCCAACCATCATTCTCAGTCCATCGTACAATAGTTTTAATAGTCTGCCTATCTCAAAATTGGAACATGGATACGTTACCCATGTTCCCATCAAGGCTCTACAATGCTGGCTGAAAGGGCAGGATCAACTACACACCGGTCTTGAGTTAGTTCATCTGAAAAACTTTCATTCTACTGTGTAATCAGGTCTCTAGCCCCAGCCCCCATACAATTTTCAGATTATTATAGAGTTTCCTGAGCCCCTCTTTCATCTTTGGAGAAAGTTGACGTGAGGAAAAAATAAGGCAAAGCAGATAACACATATACTAGTAGACATCATCTTCATTAAATTATCTCGTTATTATCCTCTCTGCTTACTGAGTCAGAGCTCAAACAGGGAGAGACAAAGTCTCTGACTTTGTCTTTAGCTACCTGACTGTATGTTTCATAGTAAGAATGCAAAGAATGTAAGAATCAGGGGGGCTGACTGGATTGGGAGTTATGACAATTTATTGAAACCCTATCTTTCTGTTAAGGCATTCTGATTGTGTGGGGTTTGAGGGTAGAAGCAGACACTCTGAGGTTATGTATTAAAAATGCCACTTGAAAGACAGACTTTGACTCCAGAAATCTGTTGAATAAAGTTTCTGAAGTACCCCTACGTGTTTCTAGAAATAGCCATGGTCTCATTTGCAGCTCTTATGCGAAGAAATGACAAGAAGTCATAGAATTACCCATCATTCAAGGAATTGAGGATCCACTGTGGCTTGAGAGAAGGAGGGAGGAATTCCAAAGATTATATTTTCACACATTAAGAAACCATACATTTTAGATGTCCACTTCCACATGGCAGTGAGCACGGAAATGCCCAAAGAACCAAAGAGAAGTGAATCAGAAATAAAAGGCAAGAGGCTCTCGGCTTCCACATTCATATACTTTCTTCCTTCTGGATCATAATCACAAGGGCAAGGTGTTTGATGTAGTGAGAAGATGACAGAATTTAGAGTCAGAAAACCTGAGTCCCATCAGCTATGCCAAGAGTGAATGATTCATCTAAATAGAGAAGGGGACTTTTCTTGACCCTGAAATACTTCATCTAAAAATAGATGATCTGCTTCATGGTATAGCTTTAAGGAATTATTTCACATAATTGATTTATAATATTTAAATAGCTTTCCTGATATAATTCATAAATCATACAATTCACCACTTACAGTGTATGATTCATTATTAAGTTTTGTTTGTATATTCATAGTATTGTGAATTTACAATCTAATTTTAGAACTTTTCTTGCTCCCCGCTAAAGAAAACCCCATGACTCTCAGTAGTCAATGCCCATTTCCAACTCACCCCACCACCCAGCCATAAGCAATCACTAACCTCTTTTCTGCTCTGTAAATTGGCATATTCTAGGTATTTTATATAAATGGAATTATATCATAGGAGCCCTGAAGTACCCGTATGTGTTCCTAGAAATAGCCTCAACATAGGATGAGGGGTATATGTGCAAGTGAAAATGATACAGAATGAAGAAATCTTCTGTTTCAGGGTCAAGAAGGCACAGGGGTAATAGTGTGGATTTTTGCTCTGAAATCCTTCCTGTGACCTGTGGTGCAGTGAAGGGGATGTTACATAAGAAGAAATTGAAACAAGGTAGGTTTCATGGTGATGTTTAGCATGATGTTACAAGGTTCATTCATGTAATAGCATGAATAGTACTTTATTACTTTTTATTGTCAAATAATATGATATTGCATGGTATGACTATACCTTATTTTGTTTATCTTGTCAGCAGTTTGGGTTACTTCTGTTCTTTGGGATTATGTATAATGCTGTTTTAAAAATCTATGTGCAAGTTTTTGTTTTAACACTTTTCTAATTCTTTTGGGTATATACTCAGGAGGGAAATTATTGGATCATATACTAATTTTATATTTAACATATTGAGAAAACACTAAAATATTTTCTATAGTGGCTGCACTATTTTATATTCCCTCCAGCAAGGTATGAGGGCTCCAATTTCTCTCTTTGCCAACACTTGTAATTGTCTGACTTTTAAAATATGGCCCTTTTAGTGGATGTGAAGTGATATCTCACTGTGGATTTGATTTGCGCTTCTCTAATGGCTAGTAATATTTAGCATACGATTATATTTTATATATAATTTAAAATTTCCACGGAATACGTCACAATTATTTTTATTATCAGCTGTTTATGAATTCAGGTATGAAAATACTCACTGCTCAATCTCAATAAGAACATTAAACTGGATGCAGCATGTTGGAATAAAGGACACAGACGTTTCTGTGGTTTCATTCTGAGCTCCAGGGCCACCACCTGAGAACTCAGCCTACCCAGAGGTTCTGCCTCCACATTGACCCAGGGCCATCAGAGAATCTGGCCTGTTCTTTATTCCCAAAATTCAACAGCAAATTGAAATCTTCTCATTGTTCAGAATAAGAGGATTCTTGGAGGATTCCCTTATAGGTGATTTTGGAATCCTTTTATAACGTTGATTTTGATGGTAAGTTAAAAAAATATGTGCCCAAAGCAGGAAATCTCCTGGAAAGGAACTTACAGTCTGGGGTTGGGAATTCAGAAGTCTGAGAGGGGAAGCCAGATTCTCCTGCTAGTGATCTTGAGCCCAAATTGGGTGACTCCAGATCCAGTGTAGTGGGAGGTGAGTGTCTGAGTTATGAGGACAGAAGGCCCAGGATCAACTTATCCTGGTTTTATAGGATCCATCATGAAGTGCATACAGGGTGAAGATGGAAATTGGTTCACTCCCAGAGAATTTGAAGTCAAAGGAGGCCGTGCAGGATGGAAGAACTGGAAGAACAGCCTTTGCTGTGATGGAAGAACCCTAAAATGGCTGATGGAGGTATTCCAGTGACATGAGCTTGGATGTGGTTTTCCTGGATGCACCCTAAGATAGATCACTTTTTCCCCCACCAAATATATGTTAAATTATAGCTAATGCCCTAAGCCTCCGATTTTATGCTTACACTACTCTCAAACCTTAGTACAAGGTTGCACATTGATTAGAGGCTCTTTTGGGGTAGATGCAGGATCCAGGAGGAGGGAAAAGTCATCCTGACTCAGGTGCTTGCAGACAACTTTAGGCACTGAAAGAAAGGAGACAGTTTATGGCCAAACAGGTGTGCAGAAGGCACATCAGAGAAAGAATGACTAATGTGGCTCCGTGGATTGAGGTAGATGGATTGTGTGTGATATGGCATAACCTATCAATTTGTGGAGGGATTTCATGCCAGGCTAAGGAGTTCTAACTCATAGCATATACAATGCAGAACCAGGAGTCTCCTGAGGTATGAAATGACAGGTTTTAAAAAACAGTATCTCAAACAACATGGGGCCTGGAAATGGCTTCATTGTTTTTCAGCTCAAGAAGCCAATAATCAACCTACAATGCTCAACTCCAGTGTCACTCCTCTTTGAATATTCCCTGACTGACCTGCCTTGTCATCCCTTCTTGGGCCTCCTGTCTCCACTGTTATGGTCCTTCTCACACTATTTAATACTTATCATCCCATGAATTCTCTTTATCTTTTTAGATCCCTCTAGGGTTTGTACATCTTTGTGTGTCCAACATTGTCCAGAGTGCCTGACACCCTGTAGGTGTGGGATACATATCTATTGGTTGAATAGCCCTGATGTAAGAATGCAGTTTTGAGTGGAACTTGTGGGAATAGAAGGGAAATGAAAAATGTCAAAGAGATTGTGAAGGAAACATCTTAAAACATAGGGGGAAAAGACCAAGGAAAAAGGTTCTAAAGATGATTTTTTTTCTGGGTACTGTTGATGAATTTTAGAAAAAGAACAGGTGAGGAGAGGGAGATGGTGTATCATTTAGACACCTTGGTTTTGTCTGACAGTGGGATATCAAGGTAGAAATATTTGGGAGGAAGTTGGAAATGCCAGACTCACAAACCAGATCCACAGGTCATTCATATACTTGGATCTTTTTATTTTTCAGAAAGGATTTCTACGTAATCCCCCAAAAATATACAAAGGGAGAAAAAAGGTAAATGATTATATAACTTTATACAAATTCTCATTGCATAACTGATTTTACATACGTGGTATGGTATTTTATGGTTTCTCAGTTGGATAATTATAATTAAGTATCCTTTATTTTTTTGTATGTACCTTCAGAGTTCCTACTTTGGACATTATATTGTATGCAAGGTCTCTTTTGAATAGCAAATCATTTAAGATGGAGATGATAAGGAGGTATCAAAATAGATCTCATAGATGAGTCTTATCCATAGATGCAGAAGCTATAAGGGTGTCAAAGTTGTAAAGGCAATCATAATTATGAAATACATAAATGCATTTAATAACAAAGTCGCAGGCTCACTTTCAACTCAAGCATAGATTTTTAAAAATTAGGGTTACTATTTTCTAACTATATTAAAATCTAATGGTGCAAAAGTTTTCTCACCATCATCCCTATGACCCCCTGGTTTGTAGTATATCTTGGAACATCTCCCCAAAATATATATACACACACTTTGAATAATTATAAAGGCAGTGTTTACTAAAGTGCATTTTCTTTTCAAAATTGAGCTAACAGCTATTGAAGTGTGTATACATTATTTTGGGACAACCTGTCATACTCCATTTCATGAGATAGGCAACTAAAAGCCTGTTCTTTTCTGATCCTTTACATCTTCTTCCACCTTCCAATAAAACATGCACAGAGGCACTCAGAATTCTTTTTCGGGGGGAAATTATTTGCCCTTCATGAGGATAGTGCTTTTGGGGAAGAAGCTTTTGGGAGATCCATAGGAGGCCTGACCTGAAAAGTTGTGTACTTTGATGCTAACAAACAAATACATAATGCACAGTTCAGATTCAGGACAAAATGATGGGTTTTCCAAGATTGGGTGTGAATGAGAACTTGAGGTAGAGAGGGAGAAAAGAAATACCATTCTTATATACTTCAGGTAGAAATGGCCATCCAAGACATTCTCAAATCCTAATATAGGTCACACATAGCTGGCCAATGAGATTTATCTTTCACTGGGGATGTGAGGTCCAGGCCTTTGTATTGTCTGATGATTTGAATGGTTTAAACTGTTAGTCCTTGGCACGTTTTAATCACTGAATTTCATCTTTGGAAACTTACTAGATTTATTTAGTGAGTAAGTTAAAGATGAGCATCTGTACCATTCTTCGTCAAGATTTACTCAAGAAGAGCACCCAAATGAGCTGGCAACTTCCTTTCACCAGGGTCTATCCTCATTTATGAATCAAACACTTTTCAGTAACAAGCTGCAGTTGCCTCTGTATTTTGTCTCTTCTTGATCAAAAATAGAAACTCCCCAAATTGTCAAATCTCAGGACCAGTAACCACCACTGTGGGTTCTCTGTGTCTCTCAGAATCTCTCTTGCTAAGGAGCCCGTTGGTTTCTGGAAACTTCAGTGTCACTCTTAGCACTACAAAACAGCTTCCCTGGCTCCTGAAGAGAGAGAGCCTCTAATATCTTTTGGTGACAATATTTTGTGAAATAACATACTCTTCAAGAAGAATTGCTTATTATATGCTAATATTTGTTTAGGAGAGAGCAAGTAATCTCTTTTTCTAAGTAAAACAATACTTATCCATTCACTTGTTTAACATAAAATTGTTAGTGGGCATTTAGTATGCCTTTGACATACTAAATGCCCACTAGCCATTAAAAAAGATTCAAACAATAACCTTGACCTCAAGGACTGTTTCAACTCATTGTCTAATATGGAACTATAACTTCTAATATGGAATAAAAACTTCCATATTAGACAATATGGAAGGAATCTAGGCCACAAAGAGATGTGGGCAGTGACATGGCCACCTCTCAGGTGATTGTCCAGTGGATCACACTTATCTAAGACCTCTATGCCCTGGGCTGGAGATAAAGGCTGAGGCTACCTGAATCCAGAAGGGAAGGACATCAAGCCATTCCAAGGAATATGTGCAAGCAATGTAAGTCTGGTAGGTGGTAGCCAGTAGCCTCTGAAATGTCACCAGCTGACATCTTGGGATTTGAATGGAGAGAAGAGGGTCACCTTTGGGAAGAAGAGCTGCAACACTCGGGCCCCTGAGCACATTTTTTTTTCTTTAAAGATACACTCTAGAAGAGTTTCAAAGGGTGGTGGAATTCTTCTGTGGGACATTTGCAATGGATTCCAGGAATCTGGGCTCTGAGGTTGCTGGAGGCTGTTAGCTTGATATTTTCATTGAAGCTACTCTGGTGGGGTTAGACTTATTAATATGGAGAAAAAGTCCTGATGGTCTCTCAAAACAGGGGAACCAAAAGAGCTCTTCCAATTTCACCTATGGAAACCAGGGCCAGACCACTACCCTAGCCTGAGGATGGGTCTAGTAATAATTAATGTCGTTTTTAAACATTCTTTTAAAATCTTGCTTGGCGTTGACTTGTATTGACATAACCTTCAAACACGTGGTATCTACAGAACATGTGAAGTGCAATTAACAAGCTTTGCTTGAAAAAGTTTGTGTTTGGTTTGGTTTTTGTTGCAAAACTAGGGCTAAGAAGATGGTGGATGAAGAGCATATTCGGCACTGCATGCTTTACGAGTTCCAATTAGGAAGAAAAGCAAGTGAGGCTGCAAAAAACATCTGTAGTGCTCTTGGTCAAGATGCAGTTAGCGCCAGAAAATGCCAGCGTTGGTTTGAGAAATTTCGCGAGGGAAATTTTTCATTAGATGACAAGAGTGGTCGAGGCCGTGTGTCCAATTTTGATCAAGAAGCTCTTCAAGCTCTTTTGGTGCAAAATCCTCAAATTACCCAACAAGAGCTTGCTACAACTTTAAATTGTTTACAAAAAACAATTTCCAATCAATTGCGTGCACTTGGCAAAGTCCAAAAGTTTGGAAAATGGGTTCCTCATGAGTTGACCGACAACAACTGTAATCAAAGAGTCACAATTTGCAGTTCGCTCCTCTCTTGTCAAAACCGTTTGTCATTTTTAGAGCAAATTGTTACCAAAGATGAAGAATGGTTGCTGTATGTTAATTTGAAAAGGCGGCCTCAATGGTTGGACAAAAATGAGGCTCCGCAGCCCACGCCAAAACCTGACTTGCATGCGAAAAAAGTGATGTTGTGTGTTTGGTGGAATTTTAAAGGAATTCTTCATTATGAACTTTTACCATCTACCCAAACCATTACAAGTGCAGTGTATAGTGCCCAATTGGAAAGGTTAGCCCAAGCTTTAAGAGAAAAAGAACCCGCGCTGATTAAGAAGGGTGTAATTCTTCACCATGATAACGCACGACCGCATACTGCAAGAATCACTGCTGAAAAACTGCGCCAGTCGGAATGGGAAGTTCTCCTTCAACCTGCATATTCTCCTGATATTGCCCCTTCCGATTACCATTTGTTTAGTTCTTTGCAAAACTTTCTTCTTGGAAAAAAATTTAATAATGAAGAATGCCTCAAAAATGCATTGACCGAATTTTTTGCATCAAAATCACAAGAATTTTACAACAGAGGGATTAAAATGCTTCCTGAGCGTTGGGCACAAGTAGTAGAAAACAACGGCAACTATATTGTTGATTAAATTTTGTTGTATTGTTTAAATAAATTCGATTTAAAAAAAGTATTAGAAAAGAACATTAATTATTACTAGACCTAATAACTAGATTGGGTCAAATGGTGGTAATTTGGCACTTTTTATTCTCCTTGTAGATATATTTAAAAAATAATGGATACACTGTGAATTGAATCCCTCAAAAGATGGCTGTTTAAATAAGTTATGGATGCAAACATCACATTCAGCATTGTCACACAATCTTTCTTTCTTTGTAGCGGAGAACATCGCAGTCTCTTGACAATACCTTAGTTGACCCATATGTAAGTACTAACTGCAACCTGTAACCCTAGAATAATGTGGGCCTTTTCCCTTGGTATATTATCTCTGCCACTACTGATTTTCCTTGAAGCATGCTTATATTCAGTTGGAACATATCGCTGTGTGTGATGAGCAGAGAATAGCTAATGCATTACCCATACCAGGTAGATGGATCTAGAGTTGAGTGTCTCAGCATGAAAACATTCTTTCCATTTGTTTGGAGAAAACTTTTTTTATTAGCATGGGAGGTAGAGCTCTAGACCACTGGAGAAGGGATTTTAAGTGGAAATGTGCAGGGCTGGCCTGCAGATTAAGGGTAAGAGCAAATTTGAGATGGTAGCATTTTAAAGAAGGCAGGGGGAAGGGGGAAAAAATCACAAATATTCACTCCATGGTGCAGGCAGAACTAAGATGGTTTCATGCATCAGACAGAAAGAAAAGGCCAGGCAAAGCTAGTGAGTTCAAGGTGTATATCCTGTCATGAGTCCTGCCAAAAAATGTACTCAGGGCAAATGGGTCCTTTACAGAGGCCCTGCATCCAACCTCAAGGGAGCCATCAAGGTGCTGAGCTGGTGTTTAGGAATAAAACCATCACCACTTAGAGAATCATGGGCATTTTCACTCAAACTGATACCATATGCCAACCTGTTTTAAGGTCTGCAAAATTATAGGTGATTCTGCTCCCTAAACTAACTCATACATTGATTTCTGTCATTTCAACAAGATCGGTATTTTAAGCACACTTGCCCTTGCCCAACTCAAGTGGGCAGCACTCCATAGGATACGATGCAGTAATATTGATATATGACATTCAACAGAGAAGGGATAGTCAAAAAGATTTCTATACTCTTTACCTCCAAAACAATACTCCAACAAGATTTAGATCTTATGCACATTGATTTTGACCCTTGGCCACTGAGGGGGTATTCAATCAGGTCAACAGTCCTGGAGTCCAGTGTTTATGTGGCTTGTTTGGGATAAATGCAGACACAGAGGGCCAGGCCACATTGTTCATAGCCAAAAAAAAAAAAAAAAAAAGGAGAGGGCAAGAGTACCCTCACCCCTGTTAATATCTTTAATGGGATATACATTATAAGCCAACTCAACATTGACTTTTAAATCTCCCCTGCCTTAGTAACTAGACTCTGCTCAGGCTAAATCTCCAGGCTGCACACTGGAATAATCTGAAGACCTGGATTTCCCCCATAGGAAATCTGATGTAATTAATCTGTGCTATGAATTGGATATTAGGATTAAGTTCCAAATGATTCAGATACACAAAATTATCCATTTTATGACTCAAAGAAGAATACCAATGCCTGTGCCCCACCCAGACCAATTGATTCATAATCTCTGGTGTTGAGAACAGGACATCTTATGTAGTCTCATTAGAAGATTCTCTTGTGTAGCTGGGCAAAGAACCAGAGAGACGCACCTTGAAAGAAGATTGTAAATGCAAGATTCTTAAACTTTGCTTATGTTTATCATTTCCTTGTTCTTTCGAAGAGAGGGGTCTTCACTTTTGGAGAATAATGCTGGTAATCTGTGAGTGTCTGCACAGATAAGAAGAAAAATGGTCCAGGCCTCCCTGCTAGAGCATTTCAGTGCTCTCTGGAAATATGTGTCAGGACTCCCACCCCCTCTGGAACACTTAATGGGAGCTCTTGGCAAGATACTCCTTGGGGCTAGCACTTCCGAATATATAGCCATCTTTAAAAACAAAAGAAATGGCCATGATCACAATTCAGCCAACACAAATATTTTCACCCTAAAATCTAGGAAGCAAGTCAAATTAGTTGTGAATTAGTGTCTTTTCATCTTTGATTACTTTCCGCACTAGGAAATTTTTTCCAAAGGACCCTTTTGCCCTGAGTACATTTTTCTGCAGGACTCATGAAAGGATGTCCACCTTATCAAATCCTCAATATATTATCCTTTTCCATCGTCTAATACATTATGTCATTGTTGTGTTGGCAAACAGACTTAACAGTGTTTCAGGAACTTGTTTTGTCTGCATGGTAATAAAATTATTCAGATCCCATAAATCATCCTCTTGTTTTGTTGCCTGTGTTTCTGTATTAGAATCTCTGGTTTTAAGGAAACACTTTTCTGGTCTGGCACACAGATCCTTCCTCCTGAACTTTACTGCAGATTACAGTTCTTTTTTCTGAAACCACCACTCCATGCTGTTCCTTCACAACTCAGGGAGAAGCACATAAGAGTCTGTGCAGATTCACACTAAGGCAATGAGTGCTAGATACCTACAGTGCTTGTCTTTAGGGTCTCACTGGAGATATAAACATTGTTTTACCTTCTAGCTAGGAAATTCAGACATATGTGAGATCTGCCGGTATGGAGGAAAGCTATTCTGCTGTGATACTTGTTCAAGATCCTTTCATGAGGACTGTCACCTCCCATCTGTGGACACTGAGAGGTTTGTGAGATGCAGCCCCATCTCCCTTTAGGGACCCTTCCTCCTGCCATGCGCAACCCCCCCAGCATAGTTCCTCCTTGTGTTCCGATGGGAAAAGAGCAGGGTCAGCAGTACAGGATCCCGCATTATGATCCTGGGAACTGTTTAAAGATTCTGTCAACTACTGTGCTTCCCCAAAAATTAGACATCCTCCGAAAATAAGACCTAGTGCAACTTTGGGAGAAAAATTTAATATAAGACACTGTCTTATTTTTGGGGAAACAGGGTAGAGGCTAATGTTCCCCTCTCTTTTCCGAAGGGCTGAGACTGGTGGCTGGGTCTTTGCCTAAATACTGCCAATTGTCTTCACCAGAACTTTTTCAGCATGAAATACTGACTTATGGGAGTGGAAATGCCAGCTGTTTGTGTTTTGTGCTTTTTTAGGAAAATCAGGAAACATGGACAGGTTCCCTCATTTCACCACTTTTTCAACTGGCTGATGAAGGCCTGAGGCCCCATGGGTTAAGGCCTGGTCTCCAACATTTGGGTTTGATAGGCAGAGCTCTTTGTGCTCCAGCAGATCAGATGGGGAAAGAGAGCTCACCACTCATCCTGACTCCACCCTCCACCCACTTATCCCTTGCTGCTACCCTTGATTGGAGGAAGGTTACTGGCTCAGACCACACCTAGGGGGTCTTGGAGTATCCCTTAACCTGCTGGCTGTGTCCATTGGTCATTCCTGAAAAGAGGAATAGGGCAGCCGTAGGAATGGTGGCTGTTTCTGAGGTCTTGCCTTGCTCACTTATGCCCAACCTCTCAGGAGCCCGTGGAGTTGCATCTTCTGCAGGATAAAGGAGTATTCAAGAAGTCAGCAGTCTCTCAGGGAATCTGAGGTCCTGGCAAGGCAGATGGGCCCTGAGGAGCAGCTGGTGAGTCAGATTTAAACCTCACAAACTTTCCTTTCTGCTCACATGTGAGAAGTCAAGAGTCATTGGGTGATGGGTGGGGTGCCAAAGGGTGTCTGACTTCTGACTGTGCCTCTCACCAGGACTTGTTTGCAAAAAAAATAATGATTTAGCCATTGCATGATTCTTGTAGAGCAATAGTTGTTTGAGGAAATTTCCAGAAAACCCTTAAGCAATCTTATAACCATTGTTTTGAACTCTGTGTCTAGTAGTATGCTTGCTTCCATTTCATTTAGTTATTTTTTTCTGGAGATTTCTTTGTTCTTTTATTTGTGACATGTCTTTTTGTCTCTACATTTTGGCTGCTTTGCTATGCTTGTTTCTATGTATTAGTTATAGCTACTTGTCTCCTAGAATTGGTAAAGTAGCCTTCTGTAGTAGGTTTCCTGCAGGACCCAGTGGCTAAGCCACCCCAGTCACTTGAGCTGGGCACTCTAGGTGCATCCATGTGTGGGCTATGTGCACAGTCTTGCTGTAGTTGAGCCTTGATTGCTGTTGACATCACGAGGAGGAGTTGACATCTAGGTCAATAAGCTATGAGGACCAGCTGTGACTACAGTGGAAGAGCTGCTATGCAGGAGATACCCCTATGGAGCAGGACTTGCTTCAGTGGGACTTTACATTCTTGAGTATGTTGCTCATGAATGTGTAAAGTTGTAATCCAGCCTGTTAAAATGTGTCTACTGGGTGCACTGGCTCTGGGTCCTCTCGGGAGGTGTAAAGTCAGCCACTGCCTATGGCTACCTGAGTAATCTGCAGATGTCTGCAGCTTGTATTGTGCTTGGAAATGCTCAGACAAAACCAAGTTGTCTAGGGCCTCTTATTGATAGGTATGGGGCATACTGATGCTAGTACTGTGTTTTGTTATTTTTTAAAAAATAAATTTTAGCAAAATCTGAAGCCTAAACTAAGGAAGGCCATTCTTATGGACAAGGTGCTGAAAATAGCTTGAGTGGGGCTGAAAATTGAATGGGGCAGGGTCTCAGGAATCCACAGGGTGGAGCAAACAATATGAGCCAGGTTGATGGATAATCAGATATGGCTGCCCTGCAGTTCTTTAATGGGAGAGGTCTCAGCATAGGAACAATGACTCCAGTGTCAGACAAACTGGTTCTTCCCATATGATCCTGTGCTTAAAGGGAATGAGTCCAAGTAAGTTCATGCCCTGGTTCTTTAAGAGGAGCTGCCTGAGTATCCAGTAGCCCCTGTGTTACTCAGCCATAATCTCCAGTTGTTTTTAAACCTGAAGTTATGGAAACTTCTCTTCCCGGCACTGGAATCCTGGTGTGGGCTGGGACCCCTTGCTCCTCACAGAATACCTCTGCCACTGAGATATTTCTCCTGATTAAAAACACATGCCACATATAGGTGTTGGACCAGCCAGTTTTATGCTTCTACCCCTCTTGTCAGTCTAAATGTGCTTTCTTCTTTACTTCTCCAGTTGTAGGACTTCCATTCAGCCAGCTTCAAGTAGTTCTGAATGGTGGTTGTTCTGTGTCATAGTTGTAATTTTGATGTGGTTGTGGGAGGTGGTAAATATCAGAGTTTACCTATGCTGCCATCTTGGTTCTCTCTCTCCAAGCTGCTTTTCATTCACATCTTCCTTCTTTTGTAGAAATGTGAGTTCCTCCTCTTGAAAGTCTATTGCGATTCAGAGAGCACATTTTTTTCGAAGATTCCATATTATTATTACGTAAGTAACAACAACAAAAAATTATGATTATAGGCTTCACTGGTGTTACCTGACCTTGACATGGGCTTTTCTGGGATTTATGCTATGAAGCCCACAGGAGGGATATTGTGAGCTGCCATTATCTTTACCTGGTATTTCTGCTGGACTTTAAGGGAATCCACCGAAGGCAGATATTGAATTGTGTCAGTAATTGTCTCAATGATTTTCCCCCACTAGATTAAAGAGACTTCTCAACATCTAAAGGAACCCATGTGGTTGGACAAGATCAAGAAGAGACTAAGTAAGCTGGGTTACCCCCAAGTGGAAGGGTTTGTGAAGGACATGCGCCTCATCTTTCAGAACCACAGGGCATCTTACAAGGTAAGTGGTTCTCCCTGTTTCCATTTCCTTTTCTTTCAGTTGAGTCACTCTGCCCTCATTTCCTTGTGCTGGGGAATTTTAGAGTATCCCTCACCTTTTTTGATGAACCTATATAAGCAAGGGTTCAGGAAGTGAGTGGGTTTTCAAATTGAGGATCTAAGCTCATCAGGGAGAGTAACGGTGAGTCAGGAGGTATCCCTGCAACCAAACTGCAGGTCCCTGAGAGCTCATCCTCCTCAGAAAAGGCAACAGTTAGAAGTGTCCCTTCCTCCCTGTTCCAAACCCAAGGAGAAGAAGATTGAATCCTAAAGTCATGTTGTTCTTATCTCTCTCAAATATACTCAACCAAACCTCTCAGAAATCTCAAATTCCAGAGTCATTTACATATGAATGGACCATATAGTTAACAGGGATCACCAGAGGGGAATAGAAGTGACAATATGAAAGGAAGATTGTACTTAGACATCTGTAATATTTGATTGTTACAAAGAACATAGATTATTCAACAACTCAAACTAGTAAGTGAGAGTCCCCACATGTGGTCATGATTTCCCATTTCTGTCTAGTTAACAAGAATTAATTATGCACTTAGGACACAGAATTAACACAGGAGTTTTTTTTTTTTATTTTAACCTGGTTAATGTAACTTGGGTGTATTCTTGAATACAATGTTTCTAAACATTGGTAATGAGTGGCATTACTTTTGTTGTTATTTATCTTTTTTTCTAGTACAATGACTTTGGCCTAATGGGACTTAGACTGGAGGCAGAATTTGAGAAGAATTTCAAGGAAGTGTTTGCTATTCAGGAAACAAATGAGAACAGTTCACCAGTGGATACTGTTGGGACCCTGGAAAATCCCCTCATCCTGTAAGTGCTATGAAGGTTGGCTGCCAATCCATCTCTCCTCAGAGTAATATTACATTGAGTCCAATCAATTGAGCCAGCATTGCATGGAGGTTATATTTGTGGAAGAGGAGTACCTGAAGTACCATGAAGAAAAGACTTTCCTGAGGCCCCCATGGGAGGATGGGATTTCATGGAAAACTTTTTTGATGATGTAAAATTAAGGAGGTTTCCCTCCAAGGTTCCATCTTCATCTGTCTCACCATGCAAGAAGTCCAATCTTGCCTTCAGTATGGCTAGAATTAAGGCCAGTGCCCATAATTTCTGTATCATATTAAAATACAGGCTAGTCCATTCCAGCATCTGGCTAGCTTTGCTTGTGTTCTCAGCTTCAGTCCAGGGGTCTTCATGGCCCTTCGCCATGTGGCTGCTTAAGGCCGCTTGGCTATGGAGAGAAAACAGACAGTTTCACGGGCAAGTGTGGGACAAGGAGCAAGAGAGAGCCAGAGTAAATAAGAGAGAAGGAACTGTCTGGGGATTGTACCCTTTTAAGATTTTGTGCACTTGCCGAAGCTGGTTTGGTTCAGTAGTAGAGCGTCGGTATGCGGACTGAAAGGTCCCAGGTTCGATTCCGGTCAAGGGCATGTTCATTGGTTGCAGGCACATCCCCAGTAGGGGGTGTGCAAGAGGCAGCTGGTCGATGTTTCTCATCAACATTTCTAGCTCTCTATCTCTCTTCCTTCCTCTCTGTAAAAAATCAATAAAATATATATATATAAAAAAAGATTTTGTGCACTTGTCGTGGCTCCACCCCTCCAGCCAATGATCTTTTTCCTGGTCTAGCTGGCAGGCAAGCACTTTCCCTATATCCTTCACTGTGCATGTACCCATCACCCCCATTGTTCTATCTCTTCCTCAGGTAATCTGAAGGGAATGAACTGGTGGTTTCTGGGGAGCATGAAGCTATCACTTCCTAGTGAAGCTGCCCAGATAACCATGCTTATAATGCCTGGCTTCCCCTTTGCTCTCTTCCTATCCTATCTAATAAAAGAGTAATATGCAGATTGACCATCACTCCAACACACAAGATGGCTGTCCCCATGTGGTCAAAGATTCTGGCCCCATGTGGACAGAAGATGGCCACCACAAGATGGCCAACAGAGGAGGGAAGTTGGGGGGACCAGGCCTGCAAGGAAGGGCAGTTGTGGGCAATCAGGTCAGCAGGGAAGGGCAGTTAAAGGTGTTCAGGCCAGTAGAGGAGGGAAGTTGGGGGTGACCAGGCCTGTAGGGAAGAACAGTTGGGGGAGACCTAACCTGTAGGGAGGACAGTTAGGGGTGACCAGGCCTGCAGGGGAGGGCAGTTAGGGGCAAACAGGCTGCCAGGGGAGCAGTTAGGCATCAATCAGGAAGGCAGGGGAATGATTAGGGGGTGATCAGGCTAGCAGGCAGAAGAGATTAGGGGCAATCAGGAAGTCAGGCATGCAACCAGTTAGGAGCAAGCAGTCCTGAATTGTGAAAGGGATCCCAGATTAAAGGACATGCAGATTGGGCTGAGGAACACCTCCTTCCCTGTGCACAAATTTTGTGCACTGGGCCTCTAGTTATTAATATTCACAAACTAGCTAATTGCAACAATAACAGTTACACCTCCTTGGCTTTGGGTCTAGCTTCCATGAGTGGCATGATTCATGCTCCCCACTAGGATAAGGTTAGAGCTATTTCAAGCTGTGATCACATCCTTGCTCAGCTTTCCAATCAGGCAATCTTGTTTCCCTCTCTACTTCTTCATCTGAAAGAATTATCACAATATATCATTTATTTAAGGAACTTTATCTCAGGTTCTGCTTCTAGAGAACTTAACATTATAGTCCTAGCAAGAAAGCTCTAAGAGTAGGGTTTGTGTGTTGGATCACTGTCTAGCCAGAGTGTAATAGGAAGAATGTTGATAGTTTCTGTAATAGTGTCATTGACAAAACTTTTATCTGTAAGAAATTGGATGATATAGAGGGGAAGAGGTATGCCATCTGGTACAGGCCTCTGGCATTTATAATACTAACTGTAAGAAAGACTTAAATGTAAGACTGGAAATAAAAAGACATAAAATTTTTTAAGACTCCATAGACAGCAAAATAGCAGACATATGTCATAGCAATATCTTTACAGACACAGCTCCTAGGGCAATGGAGACTACGGAGGAAATAAACAAATGGGAGTACATCAAAATAAAAAGCTTCTGCGCAACAAAAGAAACCATCAACAAAACAACGAGAAAGCCCACTGCATGGGAGAAGATATTTGCCAATGATATTTCAGATAAGGATTTAATTTTCAAAATTTACAGAGAACTTGTACAACTTAACAAAAGGAAGATAAATGATCCAATCAAAAAATGAGCAAAGGATCTAAATAGACACTTTTCAAAAGAGGACATAAAGAAGGTCCAGAGACATATGAAAATATGCTCAAAGTCACTAATCACCCAAGAGATGCAAATCAAAACAACAATGCGGTACCATCTCACATTTGTCAGAATGGCTATCATCAACAAATCAACAACAAGTGCTGACAAGGATGTGGAGAAAAAGGAACCCTCCTGCACTGCTGGTGGGAATGCAGACTGGTGCAGCCACTGTGGAAGACAGTATGGAGTTTCCTCAAAAAGTTAAAAATGGAACTCCCATTTGTCCCAGTAATCCCACTTTTAGGAATATATCCCAAGAACCCAGAAACACCAATTTGAAAGGATATATGCACCCCTATGTTCATAGAAGCACAAATTAAAATAGCTAAGATTTGGAAACAGCCTAAGTGCCCAACAGCAGATGAGTGAATAATAAAACTATGGTACATCTACACAATGGAATACTATACTGCTATAAAAAAGAAGGAATGCTTGCCATTTGCAATAGTATGAATGGAACTGGAGAGCATTATGCCAAGCAAAATAAGCCAGTTGGAGGAAGATAAATATCACATATCACTCATATATGGGATATAATGATCGACATAATTTGATGAACAAGAATAGATCCAGAGACAAATGATAGAAGGAGGGGGGCTAGAGAGCAACCAAAGAACTTGTATTAGCATAACCAATGGACACAGACACTGGAATAGTGGGGGCTTTCCGGGGTGGTAATGGCTGGGGAGGATATCAGTTGGGGGAAAAGAAGATATGTAAAACTTTAGACAATAAAAAATAAAGTTTAATTTAAAAAATAACTATAAGAAGTGTGTATTTTTGTATGGCCAGTGTTGCTCAGTGGTTGAACATTGAACCACAAACCAGTAGGTCATAGTTTGATTACTGGTCAGGTGCATGCCCAAGTTGCAGACTGGACTTCCAGAAGGGGGTGTGAAGGAGGAAGCCAATTTTTGATTCTCTCTCACCATTGATATTTCTACATCTTTATCTTCCTTTCTTTTCTTCTGAAATTAATAAAAACATTAAAAAGAAAAGAACTGTGGATTTTGGTGCCTAAGTGAGATGAATGTATTGAAAAGAGTACATGATAGGCTTAAATCTATTAGTCTCCACCTAAAACAAAGAGATCCTCATACATGCAGTTGGAAGGCAATAGTTCTAGGCCTAAAACAAGCCCTAATTTTAAGAATGATAGAACTCCACAGAAGACTGAATTCTAAGCCCAATTGCGCCTCTATTCCAGTCAGGGCCCTGATATAGGAGTGAAGCCCTGAAGCTCAGAATGGGGATTTCTAAGAAGTTGTACATGAGAGTTCCAAACTGCACTCACATGCAAAAGAGTCCCCTGCCCTTTGTTGTAAGACAGACCCCTACCCAGCCTCCCTTCTTTTTTTTAAATTTTTTTTAAAAAATATATTTTATTGATCCTTTTACAGAAAGGAAGGGATAGAGATAAAGAGCTAGAAATGTCGATGAGAGAGAAACACCAACTAGCTGCCTCTTGCACACCCCTTACCAGGGATGTGCCCGCAACCAACGTATATGCCCTTGACCGGAATCGAACCTGGGACCTTTCAGTCCGCAGACCAATGCTCTACCACTGAGCCAAACCGGTTTCAGCCCAGCCTCCCTTCTTGCTTGAATAGAGAATATGCAGAGTCCTCACAGCATGACCCAATAGGCAAGACCTAGGTGGGACAGCTAGGCCAGGAGAAGGCTTCTATTCCTTTTTTAAAAATTAGATTTATAGGGTAACATTGGTTAACATGAACACATAGGTTTCAGGTGTGGGTTTCTATGTTACAAATCTTTATCTTATACCATGTCCCCACCACCCAAAGTCAAATCTTCTGTCACCATATATTAGGACCCCCTTCCCCTCCCACCCTCTTCCCTCTGGCAACCACTACATTGCAGTTTTTGTTCATAAGTTTCAGTTTTATATCCCACATATGAGCTAAATCATACGATTCTTAGCTTTTGCTGACTAACTTATTTCATTTAACATAATATTTTCAAGGTCCATCCATGTTGTTGCAAATGACACAATTTCATTCTTTCTTATGGCTGAGTAGTATTCCATTGTGTATATGTACCATATCTTCTTCATGCAGTCCTCTATCACAGGACATTTTGGTTGTTTTAATGTCATGGCTACCACGAATAATGCTGCAATGAACATAGGTGTGTATATAACTTTGTGAATACAAGATTTTGAGGTTTTTCAGGTATATACCCAAGAAAGGGATTGCTTGATCATATGGTAGCTCCATTTTCAATTTTTTTGAGGAATCTCAAGTCTACATTCCCACCAGCAGTGAATGAGGGTTCCTTTTCCCCCATCACCTCTCCAACATTTATTTTGCTTCTTTTACTGATAATGGCCACTCTAACAGGTGTGAGGTGGTAGCTCATTATAGTTTTGATTAATGTTTCTCAACTATTCTTCTAATTTCTCAACAAACTTTATCAAAGTCCATCCCCTCAAAGAGAGCCTGGCTTCCCTGGCTGGCTCAAGGGTCAATATCATGATGAACAATGCCTCCACTGTGCACCCCACAGGAAGAAGTCATCTGCTAAAAGAAAACTGGGTGCTGCTAGGGAAGGTGAGGAGGCTGGCTGGCCAAGGAAAATATGACTGATCTACAGAATCTATCCAGAGGACCCCCAGAGGTGGTCCCAGAAGCCTAAGAGGAAGGATGGGGCAGTCTCAGGCCAATTAGAGGGCCACAGAGCTTGGGGATTCCTTAACGGAACTGTGGGGATTCCTGTGCTACAGAGATAAAGGCTGAGTTGGTCATTATGCTAGTAGGTAGGGTTTCCTTCCCACTCCACTAAATGGCCTAGGGCATGGAAAGCCACTAAGCCTGTCATTTCCTCAGTCCCATTTACCTGAACTCAGATACCAGCTGCTTCTTATGATGCTAGGGAGCTAGCTCAGCAGTGGTCTTACCTGGGACAGTGTGGCTGCAGGAGGACCTGCAGCTCCCAAGACCCAGGGGCTCTTGATAACCACCCCTCAGCCTGAACCTCCCAGAGTGGCTTCTCTGGGCATAAGCACATACCCTGCTCTGCTT